TGGATACTCAGTGTGAGAGCCTTTCAGAGAATGCTTTGCATTTTCTCAATAAATGCAAAACATTATCTGGTTGGACAAGGTATAAAGCATTCTTTGAATGGCATCCACGCCGAGCGGGTACTACCACAACCCCCTGTGTTCACAATGCAGCTACAGGGCAGCTGCACTGCTGTTAATTAAATGTATTTAAAATTATTAAATTGGATACACAAAGCCATTTTTTGTGTCATTTGTTCAGTTATATCACCTTTACTTGTATGCACTGTTTGAAAAAAAATCTAGGGGTGTAATTTGTCCTGCAAAACTGCTTTTACATTCATTCTTAGTGAATGCTGGCAAAATTGAATGTTATTAGGCCATTTTCCCTATGTCTGCAGGTCAGATGTTCTTTCAAAATAATAGTTTTTGAATCAGAAAAATACTGCATTATAGCCACTAGACGGAACTGATGATCTTAGGAAAAAAATACATATTCACAATAACCATCATGTCCATCTAGTGGCCTTAAAGTATTACTAAAGGGAAAACATTTTGGTTTTTAGTTTTGGATAGAGTGAAGAGGGATTAAAATACCTGTCAGGCTTTTATTGCAGTCTGTGCCCTTGTTAGGAAGATTCACTCTCTTTATTTGTCCCAAACTCCCCAGGAATAGTGTGGGATGTATTCCAACGGGGAACACTAGTTCTGGTTACCCCTGGTGACAACTAGGGATTCCCTCACTTTAGAGGGATTTTCACTCACCCCCTGTTTTGGCTATAGGACAGGAAGTAAAGGAAAATCTCCTGGGACACAGATGGCAAAAATAAACCTTACATGGAGTATAAACCCTCTCTTATGCTATCCAAAATGAAGAAAGGTTTTGCTTTTAGTTTTACTTTCAAAGAGAAGTGTGTGATTTCAAAATAGTAGACAATCTTACTCACCTAGGTGGATGCAGCATCAGTCAGATGCTTTGGAGTTAGCAATAACTAGTAACTACTTTGGACATAAGGGTTTCTTTTTTAATCAAGTCAGGGGAGTTGCAATGGGAGCTAAGTATGCTCCCAGCGTAGTTAATACCTTGCTCAGCCAATGGGAGAAAACAGATATTTATGGTAAAAAGTAGAGCTGAATTGGCTCTCTACAAGAGGTTTATAGATGATATTGTGATCCTGTGAAAAGGGTCAGTGGAGAGCCTAAAACATTCTTGGAAGACATTAATGAGAAACAGTATGTGCTATGTTTTTCTGTGGATGGGAGAAGAAGACTGTGTTTTTTTTGGACCTCATCTTTATGAAGTAAGATGGCAAAATAAATACTATGACCTACTTCAAGGATACAGATCGCAACAGTTATATTCCTACGGCTAGTTGACACCACCCAAAGTGGTGGGGGGGCAACTTCTGCGCTTGAGGTGCAATTTTAGTAACACAAACGATTTGCACCAACAATCAGATATATATTAATATAGAGTTTAGAAAGAAAGGATATCAAGAAAATAATTAAGAAACACTGGTCCATCCTGTTGAGGGACAAAACCCTTGTCCCTCAATTATTTGCCACAGAGCCCCTAGCCTGAGAACTAGATTGGCTTGTAATGTTCCTAAAGTGGTTACATTTTTTGGACCAAACTGGATTTTTTTTCTTGTGGAAGGTGTATACCATGTAAAACAGTGCAGAACAGAAAGAGAAAAACTACTTCCTTTAGGTACAATAACACAAATAGGAGATACAGAATTCATCATTTACAAGAGCACCTATGGAATCTATTTACTTGTTTGTCCTTGAGGAATGCAGTATGTGGGTCACACCAAAAGGAAACTAGGTATTAGAATAAGTGAAAATATAAAGTAAAATCACAAAAGGTTTCCCCAAACATAGCATGTGAAACAGCTTCAGACTCCACCCATAATAATAATTCTGGTCTGCTAACTTTTTGTGGTATTGATAAGATCAAATGGCACTGGAGAGGTAGTAAGATGAAACAAACTGTATCTATGAATGAAACAAGGGGAATTTTTGAGCTTAATACTTTAGGTCCTGCTGGTCTTAACATGGACATCGACTTGAATTGTTTTATATCAAATTATTTGTTCTAACTTATTTTATTGTGTATTTTGAGTTTTTTTTTAAATATAATATTATTTATTTTAGATAGTAGGTTAGGATTTATTCATTCACCATTTTTCACTAGTTCTGTCCAATCAAATCAGAGTAATATTGTTACATACATCTTTTGTTAATTATAGTTTTGCTGAAGATTTTTATTTTTACCACAATATGTCACTCTTGTGGAGTTTTGTTTATTTCCCACCACAAGATGTCATCCTTGTTTTCTTTCTATTTAATAGATAAAGGATGTTTGACCTGTTTGGCCATTAGATTTCTTGTATAATTTTAATTTTTTCCTTTTTTTGTTTTAGTTATGTTTTTCATATGTTTGGTGACTTGATGTCCCCTGGCATCCAGAATTTCTATATGTAACATCTATATACAGTATAAAACATTTTTGAGATGATATTATTATATGGAAATGAATGTTGATACATCTAGTATATTTATTAAAATAATGTTGTAAATATTAGTAATACATTTCAGATGTAGAATGGCTTAGATTTTGATTGGATTGGGTGGTGCAATATGGTGGGAGTACAGTGTATAAATAGGAGGAGATATGTCCCGGCATGTGATCCCTGAAGATTTCAGATGTTGCTGATGAAATGCATTGGGAAGGACTTCCGGGGCATTACTTCTGCTGTTTGGAAGCAAGTGGAGCACAAACAGGCGCTCTTAGTTCCCATTTTAATGCCTGAGTATTTTTAACCTATGTATGTGCAATTGTATTCCTTTATTGGTTAAAATTTATTATACTACACTATGAGAGGCTCCTCTGTTTTCCCCCTATAGGAATTAGATATATATATAGAGTCTTCTAAAAGTGCAGGAATGCTACTTTGAGCAAGGTGATGTCCATTTGTCTATATGTATGGGAAGTCATACCAAATGGAGCAGCAAATTGATTGAATCTTAATGGGAGAGTGCCAATTGGGGATATATAAGTGACTTCCTTTGAGTTAAAGGGGTCATATATTTCCAGTGAGTGCAGTGTGCATCTGCCTGGTGATGAGGAAGAGCGCATATTTTTTCCTGGTGTCACAACCTTTGTTACTGTTTTTGGATTTTATTTGCACCAGTCACTCAAGATTGGGCACCAAATGTTGAACTGTCTTAAATTTATGTCGCATGGACATTTAAGTTATGTTTAAATGTTTTACACACATTGATGTTTATATCTACTGTTTTTTTAATATTTTATTTATGAGATATTCTTATGAGAGCACGGTCCAGTTCATAGTCATTGACAATATTTTGTAGTAGAGCATCAGTCCAATGCTGCATGTGTCCCCAGTCGCCTCTAAGACCGAGAACTGCGTGATCAAACACACTGCTAATTGCTCAGTTCTCAGTCTTCACTGAGCAGAAAGTGGTGACAGTCCTCACTCTCTACTCTGCACCTCCAGTGCTCAGTGGAATATATCCCGACTATTCCTGTTTTGGGGACAACCCAATATTGGGGATTTTCTTTAACTTTTTCTTTCCATATTTCCAAATAGAGAGGGTGAGTCTCCCTAACAGAGGCAGCAATAAAAACCTGACAAGGGTTCTAACCCCTCCCACTCCACTATCCAAAAAAAAAAATAGTGTTGCCTTCGGTTATACTTTAAACAAACTGGATTGCATATTAATACATTTCGTGTCTTTGTACTAATTACAGACTCATTATGTTATTTAAAACTGGTATTTTATCAACATAAAATTACAAAATACCAATAACCTGATTAATTTATAACATTTATGAATTTTGGAAGTCCAAATACAGTAATATATTGAAGATACGTATATAAAGGCTTTTTTTTTTAAAGCAACTTGTAGTTTTCCCATTCAACAACTTTCACAATAATTTGGGAAGGTGTGTGTGTGTTTTGTGTGTGTGTGTGTGGGGTGCTATGTAGAGCTAGCATATGGAAGGTATGCTCAGGCGTTTTACCATGGCTGATATCCAGAAAATCATTTACTTTGCCCTAAATAGGCAAAATTACAAGTTCATTATAAGGAGTGGAATGGGAAGGGTGATTGAGAGTCTTATATTGACTTGACAATGTTGACTATGATAGATCTTCTATACTAGACCTTATATCAATTTTTAATGAAAGATACTTCAGAATCTTTCACTTTTAATAAGAGAAAGTGGCTTTTTTCCCTTACATTAGACACTAAAAACAAGAGTAGTGTTCCGCTGAAGCAAAATATCCTGGGAGAAATCTGTAGCCTGTGACATCTAAATTAGAAGATCATTGTTCCAAGGTGGCTAGCTGATTCAGCAAGAATGTACAGATCAGCAAAAATAAAGATAATTTTATCATTTTACATGCCCCATGTGTTAACAAAAAGTGCTGAAGCAAGAAAACTAATTACATATAACGGGTGAAATAAATTGCTTACATGTGAAAGTTGCATTCGCATAGCATGGCTTTCTCTGTAGTGTAGTTTTTATATACACTAAAAAGATGCCACCACTTATTTTAAAGCCTATATTTTATACATTGGACATTTACAACACTCCAACTATCCAAAGAATCTGATCAGCATAAAATGAACAGACAAGCAGTTAAGCAACAATAGACTATTACCTTTTTCCTGGCATTGTTAAAACAGTATTAACCACATGCCAACCTACCCACAGTAAATATACTGTGAGTAGACAGCAGGTGCAGGCATGGCAAAGAAGCACACATTACACTTTTACAGCACACAGGTAACCCTTTGATTACCCATAGATGTTAAGCCTCTCCCAGTCAATGTCATTAGTACAGTGTACAGTATTATCACTAGAGATGAGCGAAGTATTCAAAAATTCGATTCGGCTGATTCGGCAAATTCGAGGAATAAATTTGATTCGATGCGAATATATTCGCTGCGAATTTAACTTATAAAAAGGGTTTCTAGGCTTCAGAGAGCCTTTATATTAGTGCAGAACACTGTACCTTTAATTTAAATGCCCTTGGAGTCTGCTGGGGAAGAGAAATAATACTGTCAGTCAGTATGACATGCAGATGAGTGCCGTCGATCTTAGAATCACCGCACACTTCACTCATTTGGGCAGTCACGGGGCCAAAACCAGAGTGTGGAGCCACAGTGTGGCGGTGGAAGCAGCAGCAATGGGAGGCCATACAGCACCCTATGACAAAAATGGAACCCACCAGCAGTGTGAGGAGACCTAAAAGTGGCACATGGCAGAGTGTGGCGATGGAGACAGCAGCAATGGGAGGCCGTACAGGGACCCATGAGACACTCTGGACCTGGCAGCAGCATGAGGAGGCGGTACGGGGGCCCATGGCAGATTACGGGCCTGGCAGCAGCAATGGGAGGCCCGTAATCTGCCAGCACCCTATGACAAAATGGAACCCACCAGCAGTGTGAGGAGACCTGAAAGTGGCACATGGCAGAGTGTGGCGATGGAGACAGCAGCAATGGGAGGCCGTACAGGGACCCATGAGAGACTCTGGACCTGGCAGCAGCATGAGGAGGCGGTACGGGGGGCCCATGGCAGATTACGGGCCTGGCAGCAGCAATGGGAGGCCCGTAATCTGCCAGCACCCTATGACAAAATGGAACCCACCAGCAGTGTGAGGAGACCTGAAAGTGGCACATGGCAGAGTGTGGCGATGGAGACAGCAGCAATGGGAGGCCGTACAGGGACCCATGAGACACTCTGGACCTGGCAGCAGCATGAGGAGGCGGTACGGGGGCCCATGGCAGATTACAGGCCTGGCAGCAGCAATGGGAGGCCCGTAATCTGCCAGCACCCTATGACAAAAAATGGAACACACCAGCAGTGTGAGGAGACCTGAAAGTGGCACATGGCAGAGTGTGGCGATGGAGACAGCAGCAATGGGAGGCCGTACAGGGACCCATGAATGGAGACTCTGGACCTGGCAGCAGCATGAGGAGGCGGTACAGGGGCCCATGGCAGATTACAGGCCTGGCAGCAGCAATGGGAGGCCCGTAATCTGCCAGCACCCTATGACAAAATGGAACCACCAGCAGTGTGAGGAGACCTGAAAGTGGCACATGGCAGAGTGTGGCGATGGAGACAGCAGCAATGGGAGGCCGTACAGGGACCCATGAGAGACTCTGGACCTGGCAGCAGCATGAGGAGGCGGTACGGGGGCCCATGGCAGATTACGGGCCTGGCAGCAGCAATGGGAGGCCCGTAATCTGCCAGCACCCTATGACAAAAAATGGAACACACCAGCAGTGTGAGGAGACCTGAAAGTGGCACATGGCAGAGTGTGGCGATGGAGACAGCAGCAATGGGAGGCCGTACAGGGACCCATGAGAGACTCTGGACCTGGCAGCAGCATGAGGAGGCGGTACGGGGGGGCCCATGGCAGATTACAGGCCTGGCAGCAGCAATGGGAGGCCCGTAATCTGCCAGCACCCTATGACAAAATGGAACACACCAGCAGTGTGAGGAGACCTGAAAGTGGCACATGGCAGAGTGTGGCGATGGAGAGCAGCAGCAATGGGAGGCCGTACAGGGACCCATGAGAGACTCTGGACCTGGCAGCAGCATGAGGAGGCGGTACGGGGGCCCATGGCAGATTACGGGCCTGGCAGCAGCAATGGGAGGCCCGTAATCTGCCAGCACCCTATGACAAAATGGAACACACCAGCAGTGTGAGGAGACCTGAAAGTGGCACATGGCAGAGTGTGGCGATGGAGACAGCAGCAATGGGAGGCCGTACAGGGACCCATGAGACACTCTGGACCTGGCAGCAGCATGAGGAGGCGGTACGGGGGCCCATGGCAGATTACGGGCCTGGCAGCAGCAATGGGAGGCCCGTAATCTGCCAGCACCCTATGACAAAAAATGGAACACACCAGCAGTGTGAGGAGACCTGAAAGTGGCACATGGCAGAGTGTGGCGATGGAGACAGCAGCAATGGGGAGGCCGTACAGGGACCCATGAGACACACTCTGGACCTGGCAGCAGCATGAGGAGGCGGTACGGGGGCCCATGGCAGATTACGGGCCTGGCAGCAGCAATGGGAGGCCCGTAATCTGCCAGCACCCTATGACAAAAAATGGAACACACCAGCAGTGTGAGGAGACCTGAAAGTGGCACATGGCAGAGTGTGGCGATGGAGACAGCAGCAATGGGAGGCCGTACAGGGACCCATGAGACACTCTGGACCTGGCAGCAGCATGAGGAGGCGGTACGGGGGCCCATGGCAGATTACAGGCCTGGCAGCAGCAATGGGAGGCCCGTAATCTGCCAGCACCCTATGACAAAATGGAACACACCCAGCAGTGTGAGGAGACCTGAAAGTGGCACATGGCAGAGTGTGGCGATGAGACAGCAGCAATGGGAGGCCGTACAGGGACCCATGAGAGACTCTGGACCTGGCAGCAGCATGAGGAGGCGGTACGGGGCCCATGGCAGATTACGGGCCTGGCAGCAGCAATGGGAGGCCCGTAATCTGCCAGCACCCTATGACAAAAAATGGAACACACCAGCAGTGTGAGGAGACCTGAAAGTGGCACATGGCAGAGTGTGGCGATGGAGACAGCAGCAATGGGAGGCCGTACAGGGACCCATGAGACACTCTGGACCTGGCAGCAGCATGAGGAGGCGGTACAGGGGCCCATGGCAGATTACGGGCCTGGCAGCAGCAATGGGAGGCCCGTAATCTGCCAGCACCCTATGACAAAAAATGGAACCCACCAGCAGTGTGAGGAGACCTGAAAGTGGCACATGGCAGAGTGTGGCGATGGAGACAGCAGCAATGGGAGGCCGTACAGGGACCCATGAGACACTCTGGACCTGGCAGCAGCATGAGAGAGCGGTACGGGGGCCCATGGCAGATTACGGGCCTGGCAGCAGCAATGGGAGGCCCGTAATCTGCCAGCACCACCCTATGACAAAAAATGGAACCCACCAGCAGTGTGAGGAGACCTGAAAGTGGCACATGGCAGAGTGTGGCGATGGAGACAGCAGCAATGGGAGGCCGTACAGGGACCCATGAGAGACTCTGGACCTGGCAGCAGCATGAGGAGGCGGTACGGGGGCCCATGGCAGATTACGGGCCTGGCAGCAGCAATGGGAGGCCCGTAATCTGCCAGCACCCTATGACAAAAATGGAACACACCAGCAGTGTGAGGAGACCTGAAAGTGGCACATGGCAGAGTGTGGCGATGGAGACAGCAGCAATGGGAGGCCGTACAGGGACCCATGAGACACTCTGGACCTGGCAGCAGCATGAGGAGGCGGTACGGGGGCCCATGGCAGATTACGGGCCTGGCAGCAGCAATGGGAGGCCCGTAATCTGCCAGCACCCTATGACAAAAAATGGAACACACCAGCAGTGTGAGGAGACCTGAAAGTGGCACATGGCAGAGTGTGGCGATGGAGACAGCAGCAATGGGAGGCCGTACAGGGACCCATGAGACACTCTGGACCTGGCAGCAGCATGAGGAGGCGGCGGTACGGGGGCCCATGGCAGATTACGGGCCTGGCAGCAGCAATGGGAGGCCCGTAATGCCAGCACCCTATGACAAAATGGAAACACACCAGCAGTGTGAGGAGACCTGAAAGTGGCACATGGCAGAGTGTGGCGATGGAGACAGCAGCAATGGGAGGCCGTACAGGGACCCATGAGACACTCTGGACCTGGCAGCAGCATGAGGAGGCGGTACAGGGGCCCATGGCAGATTACGGGCCTGGCAGCAGCAATGGGAGGCCCGTAATCTGCCAGCACCCTATGACAAAATGGAACACACCAGCAGTGTGAGGAGACCTGAAAAAGTGGCACATGGCAGAGTGTGGCGATGGAGACAGCAGCAATGGGAGGCCGTACAGGGACCCATGAGACACTCTGGACCTGGCAGCAGCATGAGGAGGCGGTACAGGGGCCCATGGCAGATTACGGGCCTGGCAGCAGCAATGGGAGGCCCGTAATCTGCCAGCACCCTATGACAAAATGGAACACACCAGCAGTGTGAGGAGACCTGAAAGTGGCACATGGCAGAGTGTGGCGATGGAGACAGCAGCAATGGGAGGCCGTACAGGGACCCATGAGACACTCTGGACCTGGCAGCAGCATGAGGAGGCGGTACAGGGGCCCATGGCAGATTACGGGCCTGGCAGCAGCAATGGGAGGCCCGTAATCTGCCAGCACCCTATGACAAAAAATGGAACACACCAGCAGTGTGAGGAGACCTGAAAGTGGCACATGGCAGAGTGTGGCGATGGAGACAGCAGCAATGGGAGGCCGTACAGGGACCCATGAGAGACTCTGGACCTGGCAGCAGCATGAGGAGGCGGTACAGGGGCCCATGGCAGATTACGGGCCTGGCAGCAGCAATGGGAGGCCCGTAATCTGCAGCACCCTATGACAAAATGGAACACACCAGCAGTGTGAGGAGACCTGAAAGTGGCACATGGCAGAGTGTGGCGATGGAGACAGCAGCAATGGGAGGCCGTACAGGGACCCATGAGAGACTCTGGACCTGGCAGCAGCATGAGGAGGCGGTACGGTACGGGGGCCCATGGCAGATTACGGGCCTGGCAGCAGCAATGGGAGGCCCGTAATCTGCCAGCACCCTATGACAAAATGGAACACACACCAGCAGTGTGAGGAGACCTGAAAGTGGCACATGGCAGAGTGTGGCGATGGAGACAGCAGCAATGGGGCCCGTACAGGGACCCATGAGACACTCTGGACCTGGCAGCAGCATGAGGAGGCGGTACGGGGGCCCATGGCAGATTACGGGCCTGGCAGCAGCAAATGGGAGGCCCGTAATCTGCCAGCACCCTATGACAAAATGGAACCCACCAGCAGTGTGAGGAGACCTGAAAGTGGCACATGGCAGAGTGTGGCGATGGAGACAGCAGCAATGGGAGGCCGTACAGGGACCCATGAGAGACTCTGGACCTGGACCTGGCAGCAGCATGAGGAGGAGGCGGTACAGGGGCCCATGGCAGATTACGGGCCTGGCAGCAGCAATGGGAGGCCCGTAATCTGCCAGCACCCTATGACAAAAAATGGAACACACCAGCAGTGTGAGGAGACCTGAAAGTGGCACATGGCAGAGTGTGGCGATGGAGACAGCAGCAATGGGAGGCCGTACAGGGACCCATGAGAGACTCTGGACCTGGCAGCAGCATGAGGAGGCGGTACAGGGGGGCCCATGGCAGATTACGGGCCTGGCAGCAGCAATGGGAGGCCCGTAATCTGCCAGCACCCTATGACAAAAAATGGAACACACCAGCAGTGTGAGGAGACCTGAAAGTGGCACATGGCAGAGTGTGGCGATGGAGACAGCAGCAATGGGAGGCCGTACAGGGACCCATGAGAGAGAGACTCTGGACCTGGCAGCAGCATGAGGAGGCGGTACAGGGGCCCATGGCAGATTACGGGCCTGGCAGCAGCAATGGGAGGCCCGTAATCTGCCAGCACCCTATGACAAAAAAATGGAACACACCAGCAGTGTGAGGAGACCCTGAAAGTGGCACATGGCAGAGTGTGGCGATGGAGACAGCAGCAATGGGAGGCCGTACAGGGACCCATGAGACACTCTGGACCTGGCAGCAGCATGAGGAGGCGGTACGGGGGCCCATGGCAGATTACGGGCCTGGCAGCAGCAATGGGAGGCCCGTAATCTGCCAGCACCCTATGACAAAAAATGGAACACCACCAGCAGTGTGAGGAGACCTGAAAGTGGCACATGGCAGAGTGTGGCGATGGAGACAGCAGCAATGGGAGGCCGTACAGGGACCCATGAGACACTCTGGACCTGGCAGCAGCATGAGGAGGCGGTACAGGGGCCCATGGCAGATTACGGGCCTGGCAGCAGCAATGGGAGCCGTAATCTGCCAGCACCCTATGACAAAAAATGGAACACACCAGCAGTGTGTGTGAGGAGACCTGAAAGTGGCACATGTTTGGGGCATGATTCATGGCGGATTTAGTCAGTTGTGTCAGGAACTGGTGGTTTGAAATCCAGACTAATCCACGCCTGATTCATTTTCACAAACGTGAGTCTCTCCACACTTTGGGTGGACAGTCGTGTCCTCCGCGGAGTTACAATACCTCCTGCCGCACTAAACACGCGCTCCGATGCCGATGCCACGCTACTGGCCGGGCATGACAGCCTTTCAAGGGCAAATTCAGCTAGTTGGGGCCAAAGGTCAAGTTTCGTTGCCCAGTAGTCAAGGGGATTGTCTACCTCGGTTGGCAGGGTGCTGTCCAAGTAGGCCCAAGCCTGTTGTTTGAGGTCCTGCTCCAGGTCCACCTGATGCTGCTGCTGCTGCTGCTGCTGGCTGCTAGTTTGTTAGTAGTTTCCTCACTGCGCTGGTGAAGAAAGCTACTCATCATCGACTGCAGACTGAGGCAGCCGCTGCTGGTGGAGCTGCCACTGCTCCTACCACCCCACCCCTCCCCTGCTGCCATGGCAGCGGAACGCGAGCGCACAGGGCCCACAGTGTCTGAGGATGGACGTTGGCGCAGAAAGGCAGAGACCAACTGACTACATAGGTGGTTTTTATAGTACGTTATTTTGGCCTCCCTCTCAGCAGGTGTGAAAAAGGCCACCATTTTTGAACGGTAGCGAGGGTCCAACAAGGTGGACAGCCAAAAGTCATCCCTCTGTCTGATGGTTATTATTCGGCTGTCGCTACGCAAGCAACCGAGCATGCTATGGGCCATTTGTGCCAAGGAATGCGAGGGACTCCCTGCCTCCATCTCCACAGCATACTGCCACGGTGCGTCTGGGTCCTCTGTCTCCTCCTCCTCCTCCTCTACCAGATGCTCCTGCTCCTCCACTCCTGTCCGCTGAGTGGAAAAACCACCCATTTCACTCAATAATTCCTGAGCACCAATGTCCTCCTCTACCTCCTCCTCTTCTTCCTGTCCTGCCCCCACAGGGGTCAGGGGTCATGTGGCGTTGAGATCTGTGCGCCACGTCTACCGCACCCTGACCAGCCATTGTTAACAGCATTTGTTCCAGGACGTGCAACAGGAATGGAATGACGTCGTTCATCCCATAGTCCTGCCGACTCACGAATAGCGTGGCCTCCTCAAAGGGCCTGAGCAAGCGGCAGGTGTCACGCATGAGCTGCCAATGGCTGACATCGAAGTTACACAGGGGGAGTACCTTTATCCCGCTTGTAACATCAGGAAATCGGTGATGGCCTTTCGCTGTTCGTAAAGGCGGTCTAACATGTGTAGGGTTGAATTCCACCTTGTTGCAACGTCGCAGATCAGGCGATGCTGTGGAATTCCGTTCTGCCGCTGCAGCTCAAGGAGGGTGTGCTTTGCGGTGTAGGAATGGCTGAAATGCATGCAAAGTTTACGTGACATTTTAAGGATGTCTTGCAGTGGGATGGTGGATTTTAGGAACCGCTTGACAACCAGATTGAACACGTGAGCCATGCATGGCGCATGGCACAACCTTCCTTGACGCAGAGCAGACACCATGTTCTTTCCGTTGTCGGTCAACATGGTTCCGATTTTCAGTTTGCGCGGAGACAGCCATCTGTCGATTTCTCTGTTCATTACACTCAGAAGTTCCTCCCCTGTGTGACTACGTTCGCCAAGGCATACCAGGTGCAGCACAGCGTGACACCGTTGCGCCCTGCACATGTGATATGCCGTCGGGTAATGGGACTTGGCACGGGGGTGGCGGCTGAGGACACGGGCGGAAGAAGAGGTGGTAGAGGCGGACATCTTTGCTGGGACCAAGGACGTGCAAACGTGGAGGCAAAAGCGGCGTGACCTGTCCAAGTTGCTGGTGCGGCTGTGCCGGCACCACGTTCACCCAGTGGGCCGTAAATGACATGTACTGTCCCTGACCGTAGTTACAGCTCCACACGTCGGCGCTGCCGTGCACTTTGGCAGAGACCGACATGCTCAAAGACTGGCCCACCATCTCTTCTACATGTGAATGCAGGGCTGGCACTGCCTTTTTGGCGAAGAAATGCCGGCTTGGCACTCTCCACCGCGGCGCGGCACAAGCCATCATTTCTCGGAAAGGTGCTGAGTCCACCACTTGGAAAGGGAGGGGGACTGCAGCACCAGCAACTTGGACAGGAGGACGTTCAGCTTCTGCACCGTCGGGTGCGTGCTCGCAAACTGTTGTCTCTTGGAAACGGATTCCAAGAAAGACTGCTGACGGAATCCGTGAAGAGGAGTAGCAGGAGAAGGAGCATCTGAACGAGCGGAAGATGCCAACGAGCGACAACTCCCCTCAGCAGAGGTGTTGGAGCCTTGACTGGCTGATAGAGGGCGATTGACGTCGGGTGACGGAGCAGTAACGGAGCGGGTGATGGAGCGGGGGCTGGGGCAGGCAGAACCGCCGTATCTTTATCACGGTTTTCCCAGGCCACCAAATGGCGACGCTGCATATGCTGACGCAACGCTGTAGTCCCAACATGGGCCCCCTGGCCACGCTTGACTTTCTGGCCACATAGTCGACATACGGCTACGTTTACTTCCTCGGGCGGCTTGACGAAAAATTGCCACACCGCCGAGTAGGAAACTTTGCCCCCGCTACTCCTCACTGGCTGACTGCTACTTCCTCCGTGCACACCGGCACACACTACTGGCCGTGGTGGTAGGCTGCAGTGGAGCTGGTGCTCTACTCCGTGGCCGTTTGCCTCCACTGACACTGCTGCGACCCTGCTGCCTCCTGGGCAACCCACCGACTGTTTTGCTCGCTGCCAAGCTGGCACCCTCTTCTCCTGATGATGCGGAAGCAATAGCCTGATGACGACGAGGCTGCCAAGTGCGATCAGCCTCATCATCATCAATTAGGGTCTCCGCCTCACTACTAGCCCCCTCGGCTGCGTGTGGGTCAGGAGACAGACCTGTCTCTAGACCGGCTACCGAGCCACTCTCCTCGCCAGTACTTCTTCGCCTGGCTGCTGAAGAGGCGGATGTCTCCCCCCCGTTCCTGACCGCCCTCTGTTAGCTCTTCCTCACTGTACAGTGGGGCTGAGCCCACAGCATGCGATACTTCGCTTGGTGAGGGAACACCAAAGGACAGGGGCAGGTAGAGGACACGTGATTTCAGTGGGCTTGCTCCCGGGCCATGCCAACTAACGGTTGTGTCTGACGTACCCACCGACCGTTGGCTGTAGGTGTCAGAGGTGACCTGGGAAGAGGAAGACGACCGAGCCAACCAATCGATGACGGCAGGGTTGTCGGTGGAGACACGACCGCTGGATGACACCCGGGGAGCACTGGCCTCTGGCTGCGACTAGTGCTGCCTCGACCCCTTCCTCTGCTGCCACGTCTGCTCGCTCCTAAAACATTGCCTCCTCTGCCACTCCTCTGCATGTTGTCTGACATACTCTTTAATTCAACGATTCTGTGTCCCTGAGTAACAATTCTGTGTCCCTGAGTAACAATTCTGTGTCCCTGAGTAACAATTCTGTGTCCCTGAGTAACAATTCTGTGTCCCTGAGTAACAATTCTGTGTCCCTCAGTAACAATTCTGTGTCCCCCTGTAACAATTCTGTGTCCCTCAGTAACAATTCTGTGTCCCCTCAGTAACAATTCTGTGTCCCCTGAGTAACAATTCTGTGTCCCTGAGTAACAATTCTGTGTCCCTGAGTAACAATTCTGTGTCCCCTGAGTAACAATTCTGTGTCCCTCAGTAAACAATTCTGTGTCCCTCTGAGTAACAATTCTGTGTCCCTGAGTAACAATTCTGTGTCCCCCAGAGTAACAATTCTGTGTCCCTCAGTAACAATTCTGTGTCCCTGTAGTAACAATTCTGTGTCCCTGAGTAACAATTCTGTGTCCCTCAGTAACAATTCTGTGTCCCTCAGTAACAATTCTGTGTCCCTGAGTAACAATTCTGTGTCCCTGAGTAACAATTCTGTGTCCCTGAGTAACAATTCTGTGTCCCTGAGTAACAATTCTGTGTCCCCTCAGTAACAATTCTGTGTCCCTGAGTAACAATTCTGTGTCCCTGAGTAACAATTCTGTGTCCCTGAGTAACAATTCTGTGTCCCTCAGTAACAATTCTGTGTCCCTGAGTAACAATTCTGTGTCCCTGAGTAACAATTCTGTCCCTGTAACAATTCTGTGTCCCTGAGTAACAATTCTGTGTCCCTCAGTAACAATTCTGTGTCCCTGAGTAACAATTCTGTGTCCCTGAGTAACAATTCTGTGTCCCTCAGTAACAATTCTGTGTCCCCCTCAGTAACAATTCTGTGTCCCTCAGTAACAATTCTGTGTCTGTCCCTGAGTAACAATTCTGTGTCCCTCAGTAACAATTCTGTGTCCCTCAGTAACAATTCTGTGTCTGTCCCTGAGTAACAATTCTGTGTCTGTGTCCCTGAGTAACAATTCTGTGTCCCTCAGTAACAATTCTGTGTCCCTCAGTAACAATTCTGTGTCC